GGTCAAAACGGTTAAAAAGGCTAGTTCGAATATTATAAGAATAGGACTATAAGCAGTTAAACTTGGATATATCAATTCAATTTTTTACAGCATATAAAGGGCTGAAAAACACAAATTTTAACCAAAGGAAAACCATTAAACGTGCTCCTAACTATTTTATATAATTTATGCAAAATCTAATCAGAAATCAAATTAAATTATTTAAAATAGCTACAACTCGAATCTTAACTTCAAATTTTTACAGGAGCAAGATATTCTGAAGGACAGCAACATATTCAAAAATTCTTAATTTTGGACAAGAACTTGATTTTAGATGAAATTATTATGAAACAGCCCAGAAAGGGGTTTCGCGTTTTGACGAGGCTAAATACCACATAAAAATCTCAAATTTTTATCACAAGCAATACGACAGCAACTTGACCTCATAACCAAAAATCAGAATTTTTAGAGTAATATACAATTTATAGTGATTTTAGCAAAAACGGGCTGCAACATGATTTTTTTTCAAAAATTCATATCTTACAATGTACACAACGAAACGACACAATGCCAAAGCCGCTGCGTCAAGGACATTCCTAAGTCCAAAATTTCACAGCACTTCCACGCGAAATAACACATTAACCTCAGTTCGACAATTTTTCAAATTGACGGCAATCACTTTGATATCCAACGGCAATTATATATTTCAAAATTAACACGAACATATTACTAGCGCTTATAACCAACTCGAATATCACGCGTTTAGCGATTATCACATAGTATATGAGGACAACACAAGTTAACACATATGCTAATAGATTCGAAAATCACTAAAGTTAATCCCTCCACAAATTCTAAAAAAAAAAAAAATCAAGAACATGAACATATATAGCCAAAACGAGCGGGATAAGAGGCTCGAGTACCGTTCTCAAGACAGGGGTCACGAAAAGGGACGAGCCGAGGCTGAAATGGACTACTCGAGGAGGCTCGAAAACGTAGTTTCGCTCGCCGACGGAGCTCGAAGAATGGGACAGCAACTAGGTCCCGCCGGGACTCACGAACAGCAGCACGGGGCTTAAACGGACGTTAACGCGGACTCTCCTAGGATCGTGGTTGTTGTCCGGGGTGGCTCGAACATCTGCTGCTGGACAACGGGACTCGAACGACAGTCGGAACTCCTCGAAGATGCCGCTCGAGGGGAGAAGACCAGCGGCCTGCGCACGAGAGGAAGACATCAGCGATGGAGGTCTCGACTGGGGCTTGCTGGTCGCCTGAATTCGCTGCTGTGCGGTGATCACGACAACCAGCGACAGATGTTGGAACGGGGCTCGCCCGTAAACAAGGGACTTGAGCAGCGATCGGAGCAGAGATTGAAACTTGCCGGCTGCAATGTGAGAAGGAGCAGGGACCGATGGAAGAGGGTTCCCAACGACGCTTAAGGGTTGCGGGTCGCCGGAAAGCAGCACGGGACGGCGGTGGAGGGTGGCGCGCTCGGAGTTGCAGGCGAATGAGCAGCGGCTGGGAGCTTCTCGTGATGGGAGGGTTTACGGGAGTGTGAATTGAGAGAGATTTCTCTCTTCCTTTCTCTACTACGATTGAAACAATCTAGAGGGGGAGAGATTTCTCTCTTTCTGCTACGAACCGAGCGAGATTGATGGATGGAGCAGATTATGGTGTTGCTCGGCGATGATGAGGGAGAACGAGAGATTGGGAGAGAGCGGGGGTGTTGTCTGCGCGATTACTAGAGAAAAGTAGGGGTGAGCATGGTGCGGTTCGGTGCAAAACCGCACCGAACCGCAAAAAACCGAAAATCGAATTTTTTCATTTACCCAAACCGAACCGCACCGAAACATGTAGAAAAATCGAACCGAAACCGCACCGAAATTTTCGGTTCGGTGCGGTTCGGTTTCGGTTAACCGCAACTTAAAAAAAAAACA